CCCTCATGCTTGGAAGGTGCTCCCCATAAACATCCGCATAACTAACTCATTACCCTACTTCAAAATCCTCCTTTGCCTGATGCCTACAAAATCCTGATAATGGTTAGACCACTGGTGTGCTCATATTACTGCCCATCATGCTGACCAATATTGTCTCATTGTTTCCTTGTATTCCCCCATCTGTCTAGGTCCATCTATTGTCTCTTCTTTTTATACTAAGATGATAAGCTCTTTGGGGCAAGGACGGTCTTCTGTTCTGTGTTTGTACAGCACTTAACACAATGAGATTATGGTTCTCGGGCTCCTCGTCAGTTTGATAATACAAAGTATAAATTATAAACAATAATAATCTACAGAATGGATTCATTTTGCATATGTTTGCTAATCCACCAGGCCAAAGGATTGATTGTTGCAACTGTGGTTACTACAAATGGGAGGGTTATGGGAAAAAGAAGGAGTTTCAGGATTAATCACCCTACCTGGAATTCCATGGGGTGAGGTAGAGAAGTAGATTCATAGATTTTATGGTCAGACGGGACCCATTATGATCATCTAGTCTAACCCACATGCCATAACCCTCACCCAATAATATTTGTACCAAGACCATAACTTCTGTTTGAGCTCTTGCATATCTTTTAGAAAGATATCCAGTCTTGATTTAAAAATTTCAAGTGATACAGAATATACCACGTCCCTAGGTAAATTGTTGCAATGGTTAATTACCCTCACTATTAAAAATTTGTACCTTACTTCTAGTCTGAATTTCTCTAACTTCATTATGCCTGTTTCTGCTAGATCAGTGGTTCTCAAACTTTTGTACTGGTGACCCCTTTCACATAGCAAGCCTTATAAATTAAAAACACGTTTTTATATATTTAACACCATTATAAATTCTGGAGGGAAAGAGGGGTTTGGGGTGGAGGCTGACAGCTCGCGACCCCCCCATGTAATATTCTCCCGACCCCCTGAGGGGTCCTGACCCCCAGTTTGAGAACCCCTGTGCTAGATCAAAGTGCTGTCTATTATCAGAAATCTCTTCCCCATGTAAATATTTGTTGGCAGTAACCACCTTTCTCTTGGATCAAGACTGAGCTTGATCTTAAACTTCTCGTTATTAGGAATGTTTTCCAGATCTCATATTATTTTGTAGCTCTTTTAAATCCTTTGTAATTTTTCAAAATTTTTTTTTTTTTGAAGTCTGGACATCAGAACAGAACATAATATTCTAGTAATGCCACTAATGCCATATACAGCGGTAATATCCCCTCCCTACTCTTATTTGATTTTCCCCTGCTTATACATCCAATAATTGTGTTCTCTTTCTTAGCTACAGCATCACACTGGGAACTCACATTCCATTAGTGATCTCCCTTGCCTCCTAAATTCTTTTCAGTGTCACTGTATTCCAGAATACAGTCCCCATCTCTGAAGCATGAACACCTACATTCTTTGTTTCAGACATATAACCTTGGATTTTTCTGTATTAAAACTAAAACGCCTTTGTTTAAATGAGCCCACCTCATCAAGTGATCCAGATCAGTGTGTAAAACTGACCTGACCACATCCTTATTTACCACTTCACCAATTTTCAGGTCATCTGCAAATTTTATCTTTTCTTCCAGATCATTGATAAAGATCTTGAACAACATTGGTCCAAGAACAGATCCCTGTGGAATCTAACCAGAAACATCCCAATTGCATGAATATTCCGTATGTACAACTACTTTTTGAGGTTTAATTAGTTAATCAGTTTTTAAACTATCTAGTATGGACTACATTGATTTTCTATAGTGCTAATTTTCTATCAGAATCTCATGTGGGAGTAAGTCAAATGCCTTACAGAAGTCAAAATACAGAAGTCAACCAAATTTATAATCACATCAAAAATTATATCAAGTTTTTTAACAAGACCTGTTGTCCATAAAACCATGCTGACTGGCATTAGTTATGATTCCATGCTTTAATTCTTTACTGATTGTGTCCCTTATCAGCCTTTCCCTGAGTTTACCAGTATCAATGTGAGACTAAATGATCCATAGTTACCTGGATCATCCCATTTACCCTTATAAAATATTGGAACAAGATTTACGTTTTTCCATTCCTTTGGAACTTTCCCAGTAATCTAAAATTTGTTAAAATTGAACAATAATGGTTAAGAGAGATCCTCAATCAATTCTTTTAATTCTCTTGGGTACAAGCTTTCCGGTCTAGTAAGGTATTAAGCGAGAGAAAGTAACCTTTGAGGTTTATTGATGAATTTTTCAACTTTAAAAGGCTTGAACTTCCTCCAAAATCATGTCATTAGAGTATTTTTATGAGGAAGTGCACAGTACCCACAGGTACCTTTGCCATGACAATGTTTGAATTAACCTCAAGCAACCTGCTGCCTCACAGCTGTGAAATATTTGTAATGATCTAGGAATATTCCTGCTTTGTATGGCTTTGCCTACTTGTCTTGTGCATGTTTCCTTTTGTCATCTCTCCCTACTCACACACATTTTAAGGGCAAAAGCTTAGAATTCTCACAAGAGAACATTAAAAGGAGAGAAAAGGAAAATTGAGCACATGTTTTCTTTTTAAATTACTCTGATGTTGCTATTTGATTTATATTCTTGATGTTTTGTGAGCTGGGTGGATGCTCACATTCCAATATAAAATATCATAGATGGAAATCTAGAAAATCCCTGGTTTTGCAGAGTCCATCAACTGTAGATGACAACTCAAACTATATTACAAAAACCCACAGGATATCAAATTTACCATCATTAGAAACGCTTGTTTAGACATTTTTAATTTACTATCTTGTCTTTCTATATTGTTTATGCTAGAAGGTGGCACAGCATCTTACAAGCTGAGATTTCTTTATTTGTGTTACAAAAAATACAAGTTTAAAACTCCATAAGGGAAAAGAGCATAAGCCTGGCTCAGAAACAGGGCCGGCTCTAGGCACCAGCACTTTTCAAGGGGCAGCATTCCAGCATTTTGGAGCGGCACTCCGGCTTTTTTTTTTTTTTTTTTTTTTTGGGGCGGCAAAAAACGTGGAGCCGGCCCTGCTCAGAAAGTCAATACCAATTGTATAGTACATGCTTCTTAAAAAAACAGATCTGCTGGTACAGGATTACTTATAGTTCTCTTTTACCGTGCAACATTGTACCTGTACACAACTGGATCAGATACTATTACTAGGACTATGCATAGTATCCAGGACCAAATGTGTTTGGTTTGAGTTAGTTTTTCCTTTAAATTATTAGTGCCAACTTCTGTTCTCAACTATATAATTTATATATGGAGTAAATCCAGTGATGTCAGTGGAGTTACTCTGTATTTACTCTAATGCATAATAAAGTTAGGGAAATATAGCTTTCTGTGTCAAATAAAAGTTGCATGTGAAGTAGAAACATAATGTTTTCCCCCTGCAAATGCTAAAAAATACTGGAAAATAGTAGAGGAAAAACATCCAGAAGAGCCTTATTCCACCATCATTTCGATCTTGCCATTCATCGGGAGGTCCATAAAGTTTCCTTTTGAATCATTCCACAGCATCAGTGTGTATGTTGATGGCGGGCAGGAATGCAAAGACTGCCATCTTTGGTTTTTGCTGTCCCGTAGGGGAAAATTATTGCACAACACCGTGATGTGGAATCATTTACATTAAAAACAATATAACAATGCAAATATACAACAGAAAGTAATTTCAAGGATTCTAAGGTATGGCTGTATCCTCCGTGCATCCTTTTTAGATGTTCAAAAGCCTTTTAGAGTGAAACCCCAATCAGATTGTTTTTCAAAATTAAGTTTTAGATCAAATTTTATTTTTCTCAACCCTTGCTTTCCATCACCAGATCACAGACAGCAGCAATGTCCTGTTCTAATGAGCCAGATGATTAGAGGGGAAACAGGCAGTGAGTGCTGTGCAGATGGGGGAAAGAAGGCCGGTGCTAGCCTCTCAGAGGGCCTATTATGCATAGAACTTCCAATAAGCTTCAATGGACTACACGCTGGGATAACTAGCAGGAGCACCCTGATCTCTCCGAACAGTGATCCAGATTTGAGTTTCCACTCCAAATAGCTGCTGAGATTTTGATCCCATCTGCCTATTCTAATAAGGCCAGAAAGTTTTTTCCTAGAGTTGGTTAAAAAAAAGGGACGTTTTACTAAAATTTATGGGTTTTTTTTAATTTTGAAATTCAAAAATTTTCAACTAGGTCTAGTTATCTCTAACCAGGTGCAGAGACCAATTCTAGGCCTATTGGGACAGTGGGTGTCAGTTCCTGGACAATGCACTTGCCCTACACATCAGCAAAGCAGCATTCTTATCGGCTGCTGTTAGCTAGGAAGTGGACGCAGGCTGTGAAAAAGAAAATGGAGCCTCTAAAATTAAACATCAATTTGAAAGTATTTTTTAAAAGCACAGATTACAGTTTTACTCTAAAAGACCCTCCTATGTTTGGAAAGAGAGCGGTCAGAAGAGCAGAGGGAAGGGAAGACAAAGAGAATTCCACTTGCACCATTAGATTCACAGTGATATTGATTATACACAAAAATCAGATATTTACACACACAAATAACCATTTAGAAATGTACTTATCTGCAGCCCAATGAAAAGCTTATTTGCAGAAAATCTCACTTCATTTGACAAGTATCTGACTGAAATATTCTTAAGTGGCTAAAAAACCCCAAGGGATTAAGTAATTGCGCTTTGTGCATATGCTGCCAAAAATAACTTTGGCTAGTATGACATAATTCTACTAGACATTTGTTAACATAATGCTTTTTATTTTCTTGTTTTGCCTAACTTTTGCACCTTTGTATGTCTGCCCTATTATCATGGGGAATGGTTTCAAAGACATGTGGTTTTGTGCAGGGAGTATTTAGCCTGGGTTTTCCATTCTCTAATGCTCAATACAATTTTGTTGACACAACACAATACAATAAATTGGTTTTCTTCTCTCTCTCTCTCCATCTGTGACCCGTGTTCTGATGAAAGACAAGTAATTTACCTGACTCCTGGAGATAGCGATACACCAAGAAATTCACTTCGTCACTGGTTATGCTCATCTTAGCCCCACCTCAATATGATGAGGTTTACAAGAAGTGTGATCCACGCTCTGTTCAAAGGGGGGAAGAAAACAAAAGAGTTTTTGTTCTATTTTGATTTACTATATTATTTGCTACCAGAACTAAGGAACATTATTTAAAGGGGCACAGTTAATATTTTAAAGGCTTAAATATTTACATGTATTACAGTTGTGATTCAACCTGTATGCGAGAGATGCAAAGAGAGCGTTGTAAATGTTGAAAGCACTTCAGCTTTACTACAGTTCTCTTGGATACCCCCTTCAGTGTATGAGTACACTCTGATCAGCACTACTGGCAATTACAGTCAATGCATAGTACACCACACCACACCTAATCTTTTCCAGCCCAAACTTTATAATCTGGTCTTCTGCCTAGTGGTTTATCCACGTGAGAAACAGACAGTAACATCAAAAAATAACACAATGTTACTCAGAGAACTTAAATAAAATAGCAGTAAAATTACAAGCAACTCCAAAAAGAACAAATAGCAAATGCATATTTATAGGGAATAATGCAGAACACTTTGTGCAGAACGATGTATATGCACACATCTCTGCATAATAAAAAGTTGTAATGTCTCAAGTATTCGGTGGTTCATAAAGCACAAGAGTCAAGCTTGGATGATTTACTAAAATAACCATAACCTTTAAAAAGAAAGACAGTTTTGCATGACTAGTTTGGGTATACTTTGTGATAAAAAAAAAAAAAGCCAAATGCTATATATTAAGACGTTATTTTGTATTTGAGGTTCTCTCTCTAAATCTCAATGACAATTTTTTTTGTTCTGGTTTAGTTGGTTCAGAAAATTCACCATAACAGCTTTAAGTACTTTAAGTGAGCCATACAGCTCTGACAGCCACACCGAACACATAACCACTATGTAAAGGTTTGGAAGTAAGAGCATGCTTACACATTATAAATGAAGAATTTTGTAGGAGTCTGCTGTTTGTTTTAATTTCTCAAATGTCTCTTCTTGGCAGGCAGGATGGTCTTTGTTCACTGAAAACCTCTTCAGTAATTCCAGTTGCCTAGAGTAGCACCTGCTACTGTAGGCAGTGCTGATCAACTACAAGTTTCCCCCACTGATGATCTAAACCAGCAGGTCGTTCATGACTGTAACAGATGTCTTTGCATATTTATGTAAATAGAATTCTTCTGAACTTCATTATGCCTTTTATTCCCCTTCCCTGTTCTATTTCAGCAATGGCTCAGATGCTGTATTTCCACCACAACCAATACCTTGGATATTGGGTTCTATATTACAGGCGTTTGCACCTCGTGCAAAAGAGAAAATACATATCATGTTCTCCTCCTCCTATGATTTTGTGATTAAAGCACGGGTCTGGGATTCGGGACATCTAGGTTCAATTTCCGTTATGCTACAGTCTCCCTATGTGTCGCTGGGAAAGTCACTTGGTCTCCCTGTACCTCAAGTTCTTCATCTATGAAGTAGGGGTAAAACTTCCCTATCCACAGCATTACTATATGCGAGGAGGGCGGATACTAAGGTGATGGATATCATAGCAGACAGATAAATCTACCTTTGTGAACTACAGGATTTTGCATTTAATGGCAAAAATGCACATTAAAAGAGCACTTTTTATAAATCCCTATAAAGAGCCTACTTAAAAAAGGAAACCTTTAAATACAACTTTGCTCAGTGGTTTGAGCATTGGTCCGCTAAACCCAGGGTTGTGAGTTCAATCCTTGAGGGGGCCACTTAGGGATCTGGGGCAAAAATCTATGATTACTGCTGTCTACTAGAGTAAATAGTATTTGAATAATTCTAAATAATTTACCAAGCATCCCTTTTGTATAATACACTCAAAACAATCAAAGCCCCCAAAGACATTAGTGATGCCTGTTAAAGCCATTTTTATCTCCATCTATTTGATTACATTTAAACATATATTCCTATCACAACTGTCCATTCCTACAGCAGTGATAACAAGAGTGTAAGAAACTGTGACAGCGCTGGTTTAAAAAAAAACCCACCAACCCTTTTTTTAGTATCTTAAAAATAGCACTTTCATTTCCTTGGTGGTAGGAAAGATGGTAAAGTTAAAACCTCTTACAAAAATTCAGTTTCAGTGATGACGTACATTGTGCTGCTGTGAGCATTATTAATAATATCTCAAGAAATTACAAGTGCTGCTCCTGGGATACATCTTATTAGGTTGAGTTATTAATATCATAATCTTTCCTCATACAGAGGTTCTTTTTTTCCCCCCAGACAACACCTTTGTTAAATGAATTAAAAGCCAAAGGAAATCAGTCTGACTGCAAAATAAATAGTTTGGCAACTACAGAGAAAGCCTCCATAGCAGCTACCTTTCTCCCTTTTGTATTAGAATTCCAAACACACTAAGGAGCTGGATTGATAATGCATTTTCCCTGAAGTCAGTGAACAGGAATTACTTTGACATATGTGTCAGATCATATCTTTATACACATTGTTACCATCCCATAAATAACCAGATGATCCCCGCTCATGCATTTAAGTTCCCCCCTCCTGCAGACGCCAATGCAGCAATAAGATACACAACCACGGGGCTCCATCCATCTGAAATGATCCAGAGATCTTGGCTCTGCCCCAGAGTAATCTATTCATTAGAAATTCAGCTGAGCCATGAAAGACTACACTAAATTTCATTAACCCTGCCTTCTGACTTCCCCCATCCCCACACAAAAATACCCCAAACCTGATATCAGACTATGGAAAAGACAGTCGGGAGGAGAGGAACATAATTGTCTCTTGTGTAGCTCTAAGTCTGATTCAGGAACAAAGAAACAAAACAAAACAAAAATCCCTCCCGCACAATAAAACTGAGTCCATCTCTAAAATCCTGAGAAAACCTCCAGTTGAAAGCTGGGGTGGAGTGGGGTGTGTGTGTGGTAACCAAATGTTCTCCCCTCATTAGTGGTGATCAATATTGTCTAGATTAATACTCCTTCTCTCTCCTTTTTTTAAGTAGTGCTCAGAGACAACATTAATGTGCTTATGGGGCTGTTTCACATTTAAACTAAAGTGATAACATTTGAGTTCGCTGTAACATAATTAAGTTCACTACACACAACAACAGGCAGACGGTCAAATCACATCCAAGCTCTTTTTTACCTGAAACGCCTTTTCTCATAACCAGTTACATGTTATGGAGGGTCTGATTAGCTTCAACTATACACAGAAAAAAATGAGTCCCGATCCTGCACATACGCATGCGTGGGCTTAAAGTTAAGCATGTAAGTAGCACCAATAAAGTCAACGGGACTAGTCATATACTTAAAATTAACCCACAGTACTGTTGACCCCAAGCGTTTAAGAATGAGGAGTGTGTGTTTATAAAATCAGGGACTTACCTTGCATTATCCACAGGCATTTAACTACCTTCAGTTATTTAAATTATAAAACTTGAAAGGGTGGTGTACAAGAGTTTGCCGGGGCTCGACCCTCTCCGGGGAGCCACGCCGACGCACTACCTACTGGGGCTTGGGCACTTGGTCTGGCTGCAGGGTCTCCCCCGGCAGTCCTTGCAATCTTGAAAGATACAGTAAGCCCGACCCTGGCTCAGGGCGGGCACCAACGTTATGTCAGGGCTCAGACCCTCAGTCAGGGTTGAGCAACAATCAAACCAAGTACTTAAGCCCAAGCCCTAGGTCAGGGCGGGGCAACAAACGCTGAGTCAAGCACTCAGGCCCTCAGTCAGGGCTGAGCAACAGTAAGCAAAGTATTTAAGCCCAGGCCCTAGGTCAGGGCGGGGCAACAAACGCTGCGGCAAGCGCTCAGGCCCTCAGTCAGGGCTGAGCAATAGTAATAGGCCTAAGCCTCAACAGGCCTGGGAGAGGGGGAGACTGCCACCCACGGGTTGGGTGGCAGGGGGGACGCAGGCCCTCCCACTCCACTGCGTCCCAGCCCGGGGCCCTAGCAGCGGCAGAAGACCCGCTACTTGGTCAGTGGGGATCCTGGCCGCAACACACTGACATAGGCTCTGGCAGTGCTGCAGCCAGACTGGGGTCGGCTGCCCCCGGGCTACTTCCACACTCCCCCTCTGGGCCTACCTGGGGGCTGGTGTCGGCCTCGGGGAGAGATCCTGGACCATGGGTTC